AATTTTGGATCTGTAAGTCACTATCCGTGATAATTTAACATTCTGCAAAGAAAACTGACGAGCTGGGCCCAGCGTGATACAGCATTGCAGAAAAACATTACACTCACGGACTAAAGAAAATCGCTTAGATCAGATCCAGAAGGCACTTTGGAGAAAATTGGAACCCTTATTCAGCCGTAATAAAAAAAGCTTTACGCTTCAAAAGAGGTCAAACAAAATGCGCTTGCATCGAGGGCAAATCCTGCCGACCAGAAAACAATAACTACAGTCAATCGATATATATGTCATGACCTCTCAGTGTGAAACATGCGGCTAAAACCACATTGGCTCAGTAAAATGCAGAACCTTCCAGAGCATAATCTACCCAGCAGATAAAAACAACTTCATTGGAATAAGCAGCATTTTGGCATGAGGTAAAAGTCGTGTAGGCCTACCACCCCCTTTTATTGCACGGACTATACAAATGGTTTAGTCGAGTGCGTGGGCCGGCTGCAACGCAGGCTATCTCTCTCACGCTGTAATGAGATTGGGCACCGACAGTCTCGGCCTGTTGATGAATGCTCTCAAGAGAAAAGGGAGGGTTTGGGTAGGGAAAAAATACATACGTCGTGTTGACGCAGTAAAAGACAGTGCGCACGCTTTCCTACCTCACGTGATCCGAGTACACAAAAAACGTACTATCAAGGGGGCGGGGTACACGTGAACTAAGGGTTCAGCTCAGCTCTGGGTTCAGCTATGGACGTGACCATGCAATAACAGGGAACTTAAGCAACGACGACTGTGACGTCAAAGAGGACAGCAAAAAAGCAATAGGTTTAGCTTGGCAAACAGCAGCTCTGCACGTGCATCACGCCTTTTTTTGTACATTTCTTTACCATCACTGCACGACTACGAGGTGAAAATACCTAATTTCATGTTTTATGGAGGACGTGAACACAAGACTAGATTACGAGTAGTCCCCCATTTTTCCTCAGGGATAGTAGAGCGAGCGAAACGCGAGCGCGCGTGAAAATCACGGGACTACTCGTAGTCTAACACAAGACAACCACTTTCTTTTTCTTTTCCTGAACTTCGATACAGTTCTTTAGAATTCATCTCCAGAGAAAATTGCCGACATTTGATAAATTGAACGCCATCCGCCATGGAATAAGCGCGATAAAGTTTGAAGCAGCGCGACTTCACTTTTTAAGTGACGTTTTCGTAGCCGTCACCGTCGTCGTTGCTTAAGCTCCCTAATGAGTCATGACACCGTTAAGGTAAAGATCCCTGAAATGTTAAAAAAAGAACTTTGGTGAGTCACGTTCACGCCAGTATTAGAGTTTAATAACATGCACCGCATCATAAAGAAACAAGAAAAACATACTGAAATTATCGCATTGACGAAGAACACTGCATCAAAAGCTTTGCACTGTCAAAGAAAAAGGGTGAAGGAGGGTTCTCTAAGAGTAGCTTTAAAAAGGTACATATTACGATTTTTTTAACCAGATTAATTTAAAACATTGAAGAGTCAAAATATTCAAATTTCAGTCTTAGCTGGCATACCGGTGAATCAAACGCCGAAATGCGAGTGACATACTGTGAAATTTAAAAACGATGCTTGAGAATGCCACGTTCGTTTAGTGTACTCGAATCACTGGATTCTATACTTGAAAACAAAATACAAAGTAAAATACCAAGGTAATTAATGCTTAATTAGTGAAATCAGATAAAATAGTCCTCATTTTTTGCATCTTTAATTTCTCCTTCTAAAATTATGTCGTGTGGAAAGGGCCAAAGTATTAGAATTTAGCATCCGACACGTCACTATAGAAACAAAATGATACCGATATCAAAAACACTTCCCCAAAGAGGGTTGCTTTAATAGTCTATTATAATAGCTAAACGTTACCTTTCAAGTGCACCGAACAAATCTGTTTAAAAGTGGCTGCTACAAACAGGTAAAAAGGAAGTGGGCTAAAATTAAAACTTGCGCACGTTTGGCTGACCTTTCAAAGCTCTTTAGTATGGTAAAGCTAATTCAATATACCGTTCAAAAACCATTGATGATGGTAATTTGCGGGCACCTTGGAGAATGAATATATATTCCCCTCCCCCTCCCCCTTCCCCTTCTGTCTCTGTCACGCAAGCAATATTACGTAAGCGAGCGAGCGCCGAACACTCAGTATTTGGGGTCGCGCCAAGAAGCTCTCAGAATGAAATGTTTAACTGTCAAACCAAACAATAGATGACCTAACCCTAAAAACAACAAGTGAGTTTCAAAAGCTAATGAAAAGAGAGGTTTCTGTCAGAGATTTCAGTATGGCTCCAGAGTATTTCACGAGTCAGAGGGTTTTTCTGCTTGTCATTAAAGACGCTTGCACTACAAACTCCCTGAGATCAGTCGCCAACGTATCATGTCATCATGTGCATGCAAATTACAATGATCAAGGAGGAGGGAAACCTAAAACTTAGAGAAAGCTCTCAGAAAGGCTCTGGCGAACGTTCAATGACCCTGAAGGAGGATTATGTCATCGAAGAAGTTAAATTTTGCGGATGGAAAATTGCATTTAACAAAATTTTATGTCCCCATAAACCAGCTTAACTTATTTAGCTTTAAAATCGTTTACTCTAGGAAATGTTACGGTCGTAGGTCTCTAGTCTAGTAAGAAAGGAAGTAAATCATTAAGGAATGCTACGTTCACTTTATGCTGACTAATGACATTGCTAGTCAAAGGAAACGGGTGATGCTAGAGCTAAATATATTCCACCCACGTTATAATGACTGCACGGTAAGGAAAAAATGGTCGCTGCTGAACTATACTCACCAACTGAATTCTCCTCAGGAAGCTATCGAAGCAACAATTTGCAAAGCAATTCCCTCGGTTTAGATAAACAGCAACGCAAGTTCTATGAAATTCGACAAACTCAATGATTTGTCTGACTCAGATAAGGGGGAAACCCCCCGCCCTCAGAATCTGCTGAATTTCAGTAGAGATAAGGTCGTAAGCATTTTAATGACCCATTCTTGCCGACTCCATGAACTATTGTAAGCTTGTTGTAGCAGCGACGACAATGCTAAACTTTACACTTTCGTTAGCCACAGGTTACAGTCTCAGGCTACTCTGCGATACAAATTCTGTTTTTAAAATATTATTGTAAATTGCAACTTGTTTCCGGGTTGTTAAACAAGAAGTGACGCGAGGTTTAGGACACATCAAAATGAAAACAAATAAATAGTCTAAAAAAACAATGAAAAGTGGAATCCTGATTTTGCGAACCACGTTGGGAGAAGTAATCGATTCTAATAACCAGGAAGTTTGAAAACTCGAGGGCAATTTTATACAGCATGCAGTGTTTGACTGGTGAAGGGAAGTTACGTTTGGTTTGAATTACCGAGAATTTTGAAAATTAACCCGAGGGTTCGAGAAAGTGGGATCAAAATTCATCAAAATTCATGGTGGGTTATTAAGACTTGCAACCCATCCTAATATTTACACACCATTTCTTGGCATAAAAAGGTCATAAACGGTCACGTGAAAATACAAGGCTGACGTCATCGCCCACGTCCTCAAATTGCACCATCACATCAAGCACTCTCGCGAGTCATTCATTAAATCATACACTCGCGCTATTATGGTACGATGTCGTATCAAAGTTATAACACTGTTTTAAAAACAGTGGAACAAAACGAGAGTTTTTAAATATCCGACTTTCGGGGGAAGGGGTTAGCATACAGCGACGTCTTGGAGTAAACTGTGCAGCATATTTGCTTTGCGGAGGTGAACAGCTAACCGATGATATTCGCCAGAGAGTTGCTAAACATGAACAGTTGGTAAGTTCACTTGATCCCCAATTAATTTATTGAAACGTATATTTGTTTTCTTATTTTCAGTTTATTGAGTCATAAAGCTTCAGAGAAAGCCTGTAGTCTGGAAAAAGTCTCTCGGAAGACGTAGACTGCAGCTTCGATAGACAGTTAGGGTCCCGGAATATATTGGAGCAAGTATTTATTAATAAGTACGCTGAAAATATCACTGGCAAATGATAAGGTAAGAAAAGCGAGCGCCGAGACTGATACAATATCTTGGGTAAACTCGTAGAATCTCAAACATTTCATTTTCCCTTAAACACTAGGTTTATTTTATTTTTTTTTTATGATTTTGATTGTCCTTGTTTTTGTGACGGCAAAGTCCCACAAAGTCCTACGAAAGGACCCACGAGGATGGATGACACAGGTGCATCATTTGCAAAAACAATGGTGAACTTCAGCTGATGTGTTATGATTATTAACAAACTAGTGATCCTTTTTCAAACGCCTCTAAGTTTATTCAGTACAAACGAAATCGGGGGTGGAACAAAAAAAACTAATGGACTGACTCGTTCTTCTTTGCCTTTTTTCTGACAAATATACAATAATCATTTCCTATTTTAACATGTACACGATGTATTCTTAGACAAGTGTGCATCATTGATTTTGCATCAGTAGTTACTTGGTAAAGCAAGTTTAAATTAAATTACGAATATTGCCCATTCATGCTCAACGCAAGATTTTAACATTGATGTTATAAACTTTCTTTTATACATGGTTAAAAGCCTCACCACCATAAGAAGAGACGGCACGGAACCTCGCAGACGAGTAATACTCCGTCTATGCTAAAACAAGAAATAGCGTT